CTAAAAAATCTTTTTGTCTCAGACAGTAGACTGCAACAAGTGAATAAAAATGAAAAAAATTAAAGTTAAACAAATACCTGAAGCAAAAACTTAGTTTGACCCATCCTTATGTTACACTTGCTGAACAGTGGAAAACAATAATGTGACAGAAAAGATAAAAKAAGTATAATAAACAGCCCAAAGAAAGAACCAAAGACAAACAAAAATTCAAAAAACATAAAACTGAACAGGTTAAGATGGTAGTTTAAGGAAATAGTTTGGCTCAGCTTCTTGGTAACAATCACCTCCAAAGCTTTGATATTCATGTTGAAATCAGGCCGATGGAGATGATTTAAGGGAGTTGTACAGATCTATATATACTCAGTAAATATACTCCTTCAATCCATTAAATACATTGATCAGCCACTGACAGATGAGGAAAATCACATCTTGACATGAGAGCATCACTTTCTCTCACAGCAACTTGAGGGGAACATTTCACAAAACCTAGTGGCATTAAAAACTCAGTTTTACAAATTTGCTCTCTTCCTACAGGCAAAACATTATTTTGTGAACTACACACTGATACCTCTTGATAATTTTTGCTTTACTTTCAAACAGCATTATCTTTCAGAACAATTCACCTTGCCTTGAACCATTRCAGTGCATTGCATTATTAAATATAAGCCAGTGAACATTTTTCAGGTGTTTAAATTTTTCTAACAATGATTTCCCTCCTGAACATATGCACAGTTKTATATGACAGTTTTAACATTATGTCTTTATGTGCTGTTTAACTTTGCAGTGATTAACGCCCACCTGAAGAGAATGGTGTCTCCTTCTTTATTTGGTGCAGACATAGAGAGGCTGAGGTTTCATGCAGAAATGCAGACAAACAATCGACTTCGATTTAAGGTGGACAGATGGACTCAAGTTCTTTTTTATCTTCTCRTTAAAAGGACCAAAACAGAACCATGCATCACAGAGGTCTAAAGCAGTCAGAAGACAGAATCTAACACTGAATGATTGTKTCTTTTCTTTCAGATCTTTGATTCTCAGAGTCAGAGGTTTGAGGTTCCTCATGAGCACATCCCAACCGTCAGCAGTGACCCATCCAGCCCCATCACCGACTCACTGGAGATCACACAAAAAAACTTCGGCCTCAGAGTGAGAAGAAGGGAGAACAAAAAAGTCCTGTAAGTTTTCACAGTGAGGGCACATAAATAAGGATTTGTTTTAAAGATTTTACAATAGAAATGTTTGAGAGAGTTTGATGAGTCTGATTTCTGTCTTGTTTCTGTTTTCTTCTCACACTCTTGTTTCTTTCTCCTCTTCTTTACATTTTTCCACATCCCAATGCTGCCTCTCACATCTGTTTCTCCTTTACTTCCTTTTACCCCCTTCTTGAACACAACCAGGTTCGACACCACCATGGCTCCACTAGTGTTTGCAGACCAGTACCTACAGCTTTCTGCTAAGCTTCCATCCCATAATATCTATGGCCTTGGGGAGCATGTCCACACGAGGTATCGCCACGACACAAACTGGAGAACATGGCCCATTTTTACCAGAGATGCACAACCTAATGGGGTAAAATATTAAAACATAAACACACACATAGATTGATCTAGCTATCATATGTGTCTCCTGCTTCCAAAAGCCAGAGGGTAATGTTTTTGCCGGTGTCTGTATTGTGTTTGAAACATTTTTAGCATATTTTATCGAAAATCGGAGAATTTTTTATCCATCAGTTCAAGATGGCTGCCTCAGACACACAAATAACAGTAACTCAGTGGATTTTACAGAAATTGAGCTGAAGTTTGGTGACATTTCTTTGTCCCATCCTCTCTTGCAGGGAAGACACAACCTCTATGGACACCATCCCTTCTTCCTCTGTCTGGAAGACGAGAGTGGGAAGTCATTTGGGGTGTTTCTCTTGAACAGCAATGCTATGGGTAAAGATAAACTCATGCATTCACATCTACAGTGTTCATTTTAGCAAAAACATAGTATAAAAGTGTTGTTGCATGTCAAGTTTAATACATAAAATCCACACATTGTGGTCAATTTGTGCAAAATTAGACATAAAAATCTCGAAAGTTTTATTTCTAGACACAACTTTATTTTATATGAAAGCTTTTTATTCTTTCAAATAGAAAACATGAACTGATTGCAGTCACATTAACCATTAAAATGACTAGTTCTTACATTTATTTCAATGTTTTTCCTGTCAGAGGTGACTCTGCAGCCTGCTCCAGCTGTGACCTACAGGACTGTAGGAGGAATCTTTGATTTCTACATTTTCTTCGGAGACACACCGGARCAAGTGGTGCAGGAGTATCTTGAGGTGGTTTGTCCAAAATCCAAACCATAGCCTGGGTCACTGGTTTTCTTTCTGACAAAGAAACAGTATTTATATCTTGATTTGTTGATGCTCTCCAGCTCATCGGCAGGCCTGTCGTTCCTCCCTACTGGTCKCTGGGATTCCAGCTTTCTCGGTGGAACTACGGGACTCTGAGCAATGTCAAGAATGTGGTGGAGAGAAACCGCGCTGTGGGTCTTCCATATGTGAGTAAACAAAAGTGTAGCTTTTGTTTCCCCCCTAAACACTGACTCTGTTTTCATGGAAGAGGTGTTGTCCCCTCCTACATTTGGCCCTTATACACTTGTTTCATAATGTTCAACAACTTTGTTTAGGAATTTATCCACTCATTGTGTTACTATGCAATAAGATACAAAGTGATTCATTGTGATTTATGATAAAGTAGATAAGATGGACTGTCCTTGTAAAACATTCTTTTATGTTTATCACACTCGGAATCTCAGCTCTAATAAATGGTCATATAAATTCCAAATTACTTATCACTCAATTGACAATATAGGTTAAAAAACACATTTTTTCTCCGTATTTAAACTGTATATATTAAACTGTCTCCACATTCAGGATATTCAATACACTGACATCGACTATATGGAGCACATGAAAGATTTCACCTACGACAGAAACAGGTTCAAAGAGCTGCCAGAGTTTGCTGAATACCTCCATGAGAAAGGACAGAGGTACATCCTTATCCTGGTGAGAAGCTTTTTATTGCTCATAAAACAACGTGGACATTAGACACACACTTTCCAAACATCCATGTTCAAATACAAAACTGCCCCACGCCATTCACTTTTCTATTCAAGGCTTAAATCACAACTAAATGGTCTTTTGTATGTACAGGATCCTGCGATAGCCACCAGTAAGAGGGAGGGGAATGCACCGTATGAGTCCTACGACCGTGGGACTGAACAGAACGTTTGGGTCACAGAGTCTGATGAGAAAACTCCTATAATTGGACGGGTGAGCTGCAGCTGTTTTATAACCAGAATGATGAAAGTAAAGTTGAATTCTGCAAAGCCCAGCTCAAATATTGAGTCAAGAGCAAGTTTTATAAAACTGTAGTTTAATATATTTTGTTTTAAGTGGCTGTGTCATGGACTTGCGACCATTTGTTCCCCAACAAATAAAACAACTAGAATGCTTAACATAAAAAAAACTTCTGTCAAGCTTTAAGAAAATCTAAAATATATCATTTAAGAGGAGTCAATAAGAGAAGCTCACACCGTGAGGCCAAATTAAAGCACTTGTTTCATCTAAGAGTATTTTGGTTGTTTTCTCACAGGTTTGGCCCGGGGAGACTGTGTTTCCAGACTACACCAGCCAAAACTGCATCAACTGGTGGGTTGATGAATACGAACGATTCTACAGGGAGATCAAACACGACGCTCTCTGGATTGTAAGATTGAAAAACACAAATAAAACTAAATAATCAGCTGTTTGATACTGCCACGAATTCAAACTTTGTGCTATTTCAACCTAGCTTAAAAACACAGACACAAATACAGACACAGACACAGATACAAATACAGATAGAGATACAGATACAATGATTGGGACAAACGTTGGATGTTTGTTCTTTTCTACATATTACTTTTGAATCCTGCACACCTAAAACTGATGTAATAAAAAATAATTACTCATTAAAATCGTTATACTGTAAGTTGTGTTTTTGCATATTTCAGGACATGAATGAAGTGGCGAGTTTCATCAAAGGATCAAATAAGGGTTGTGCTAAAAACAACCTCAATTACCCACCTTACACTCCAAGTGAGACATTTTTTTTACTATTTTATAAATTTTCTTTTCTTCGCTGTTCTTTACTTCCATTTTTCATTCACTTCAGTTTTCTGGTTCACCCTATCTCCTCACTTTTTGAACCCTTTTTTCTCCCCCCAGAGATTCTGAATGAGTTGATATACAGTATGACCCTCTGTATGGATGCCAAGCAGGCCTGGGGAAACCATTACAATGTTCACAGCCTGTACGGTTATTCTATGGTGCTGGCTACTGAGAAGTGAGTGCATCCAGGTTAACTGCTACTAATACTTTCATTCATCTAAAAAAGTAGAGGGTTATAATCACAGTAATGAAGGCACAGATGCAAGAATGCAGATGTTCCTCCTTTATACATAATGCAACCACACTAGTTTTTATTTTCCGCATTTTATTTAAGCTAATGGCTGCTCAATAAAGTGATATATGCAGATATCTCTGCTAGTCAATGCGCAATAAACCAGATACAAGAAAACACAGATACAGAACAAGTTCAGAGAGTAGAATCATTTTTTATATGTCTATGATTTAAAAGTCTGATACGTTTAATTACTAAATAAAAGACTGCACGCTTTTTTCTCTTTTATTTCTGTTTTTTCATAATCATGTTTTTTTTACTTTACCTCATCTTTTGTTTTTAACTTAACCTTATCTTTATATAAATATTTTATTTACTTAACTTCATCTTAATCTTTCCCTCCATCTCTCCATCCCACAGAGCCCTGCAGAGTGTGTTCAGGTCCAATCGGACCCTGATGATTACACGTTCCTCCTTCCCAGGTGTGGGAAAGTACGCAGGACATTGGTTAGGAGACAATGCTGCCACCTGGAATGACATGAAATGGGCCATACATGGCATGCTGGAGTTTGGGCTTTTTGGAATTCCTTATGTAAGTATAGTCTGAGAACATACACAGTTCTTCTGTGGCTTATATCTCATACTCAAAGTATGAGCACTAAATATATAAAAGAAACCAAAAAACCAAAACCAAGCAATAAAAGTTGCCTCAGTAGGATCAAGCTGACCAAATAGAATAATGTTAAGCATATATTTTTTGTGTTTATTCAAATTGACTTTTATTTATCCACATACAGCAATGAAAATATGGCAGGTTCCATTTACAAGATCAGCTTTGCAAGTAATTTTCAAAAAAAAAATATATATATATGTGTGTGTGTGTGTGTGTGTGTGTGTGTGTGTGT